CTCATTAGGATGTCTATCAATTTCATATGTCTATTGGATCAAAATTAATCTTTTCTATTTAAAGTGTCCACAATAATAAAAATAAATATAATCTTTACTATTCACCTTCGTAACTTTCGTAACTTAATTAAAAACTGTATAATTTATTGAAATTTTAGTATCAAACCCGTTTACAAGCCTCATCAAAAAAAAAAAAAACCTTCAATAGAAGTTATTGTTAACAGTAAATGTTTTCAAATAAACAAATAGCTATAAATGTAAACATGTAAGATCATCATTGGGGATATATACCGTATCCGATCATTCGATTATTTTGTCGTCTCTGAATTCACTTACCCACGTGAAGGGAAGGGTCACTATTTAAATAATATGATTACAAATAAGTTCGAGTTTGTCTGTTCATTTGTAAAATGAAAAACAAAAGTTGATAATACAATAATTCGTACGTCTTTTATTCTCTGTATTTTACAATTTTCAACAACTTTTTAACTAAATAATTATGAATAGCCTGCAATCATGGGATAAGTTGAAATGATATTACACTACAATAGGAAATTTTATGCCCATAAAAATCGATACCGCTTTGATCTGTTTCAATATTATTGTTTTTTTTTTTTTTTTTTTTTAGTTTTTGTTTTTTTTTTTGTTTTTTTTGTTTTTTTTTGTTTTTAAGCTTCAATAGAATAAGCTAAATTGGTTTAGTTTTTAAAACGCATCATTCATTTATAACAATGAACAGAAAAATAAAAATGTATACGATATATCGCCAAGGATGTGACAAACCAGCCCAGCTTTCTTATTCTTTGTTTATTGCAAAAGAACAAGAAACAAAAAAAAAGACTGTATATCGGTAATTTCAACTCTAAAAGAGAAAAACTTAATTTGTAAGTAGAGTGCGCAATGCGCACTATTTTATCGCGAAAATCTTTCATAAATTGATACATTTATTGTCTTGCCTGTTTTGTTCAATTCCTATAAAGACCAACACAACCACCACACCAAATAATAATACGGTAACATCAAAATAAAATTCGTACGCTCGTATTTTGCGTTATTTACCAACCTCGCTTTCATAAGAATCCGGAGGTGGAACTGCATGATAAGAGCTCCCTTGTTTTTTATCTTCATATGGCGATGTTGGAGGTGAGGTCGTAGTGCTGGGAGTTGTTGATGGCGCTGATGAAGGTGGTGGAGCTTGTGTAGCTGGTGCTTGATACCCTGCGGTTTGATAGTTAGCTGTGGTTTGATACCCAGCATATCCGTAATAATAACTAGCGTCAACTGCTTGCGCAGCAGTTTGTTGATAATAAGGATATTGTGAATATTGGTAATATCGAGATTGGTTATAAGGGTTATAAGGATTACTCCAAGTTGTCGCAGCATTCTGGCTACCACCTGTATAGGCATTACTAGTAGTTGTGGCATTGTAAGCGTTTGCATATTGACTAGAAGTGCTAGAGGTACTAGTGGGTGACGAACTTGTTGCTACAGTTGTTGTCGTTGTAGATGGCGGTGGTGGAGGGGGGTAATTGGGAAGTGGAGGTTGCGATGTTGCAGTTGCAGTCGCAGTTGTAGTTGTAGTTACGGTTGGGGTCGCAGTCGCAGTTGTAGTACTGGGAAGTGGTGGTGGAGGCGGTGGATTTCCAAGCGGTGGCGGAGGACCACTAGGCAATGGAGGGTTTGCAGGGGGGGGAGGATAAGTCTGTAATTCGAAATTATATTAGTAAAAATATAGTGTAAAAGTTTTTTAAAATATTAAAAAGAATTCATACCCCAGAGGGAGGTAACGTCGGTTGTCCATAAATAGGTGGACGTGGATATGGTGACCTGCCATACGAAGGATATGCCGCTTGTTGCGCTTTGTGCTTATCCCATTCTATTTTTACCGTGTTAATGAGATCTTCACATAATTTTTTTGCCCTATCCAATCCTTCTTGACTCCAACAACTATAATAGAGAGTAATTTGAATCTGTATCTATTTGTTAATATCTTACCAATCGGTCTAAAACATACGTGATGTGAATATGAAGTGGTTCAAAGGCCTCGGTACCCGAAGTAGGTTCAACATAGCCTGATCCTCGACCTTTAAGCTGAACCTTCGCACCTGTCTCTTGTTGAATATGTTTCACATAAGCACCCTGTGGGCCAACAATTTTAGCTCGTGCGTTAAATGTGCGATCAGGTTCAATTCCCACAAATACTTTATCTTGAACAAATTGCCGCTATAAAGGATAAATTAGTAAAATTTTTTATTTTTAAAAGGGACACAAAGAATTAAGAAATTTGAACTTACCCCCAAATGTTGTCCTGGTGGACGAGGCGTTGGTGTCGACGGTGCCGGAGTAAAAGTCTGTTCCATAAGCTCAGTAATTTTATTGATAGCAGCATTTAGAGCCTCCTTAGTTGATGCTGTCACATGCAAATAAAGAGGGGGATCCTTTTCGGTAGCGAGAGCCTTATCTGGGTAGTATTTCCCTCGTGTCGTCACATCTATCAATAATATATGTTTCTTGGTTTAAATTATTTATCATTAATAAATAAGAATATCTTTAAAATAAATGATGCACCTGCACCAGTTTCTTTTTGGATCTGAATAATTGGATGATATACATTAGTACATAGTGAAAGAAAAAATTTACAGTAGAAATAAAATATATATTTATACCTGCTGTTGTGTTGCACCCTTAGTCAACAAATATCTATTTTTACAATCATTGATTGTAATATCATGAGTAAATTCCAAATCAGAATCTTTTATCGCCATCTTAGACGCTTTAGAATCCTTTACAGGTTACGTCATGATAACGAAATAAAAATCACGACCACAGGGTTAATTAAATGACAAGAAAAGACAAACGAGACTTAAAATATACCTCCGAACTGCCGTTTTCAGAAATATCTAATTTAGGTGTGACTATTAGTGGCTTTGCCGGAACCTGAATACCTTTAGCCGCAAGCATAGCATTGATTTTTGCCGCTGCGACAGCTATTAATGCAAAAGAATTAATAATAAAATATTAGATCTAATCTTAAGAAATAATGTATGATATTTACCTGCAGCTATATTGGGATCTATTGAATCAGAGCTTGAAGGAGTAGGTGAAGGCGCACTAGATTCAGATGCGTCACTACTAGGATCAACTTTGGCCGACTTTGAGGTCGTGGAAACGGGCGGTGCTTCTTTTCCTTGGTCATCAAGATCCCATTTACGTTTCCGACTAACAATTCGTTGATTAAAATTTAGTAAAAAACTGTCGAAAAAGTATGGAAGCCTTTTAGGATACTTAAACCTACGTTTTACTTTGTGTAGACATTATGATTTTAAAAAAAACTACAGAGAATATCAGACGAAAAACGTATGTAAATGATTCGACTACAAGAGTTGTCCAGTATATAGTGCATTTCGCAATCACATGTTTGTGGCGCAGCGAGTCTAAACCATGAATTTACTGTTACCAGAAGTTCTTTATAGTTCTGGTCGACTCCATAATAGAATATATATTCAGAATTGCATTAATATCGGCTGCCTGGTTATAAAGATCACTTAATCACAGGACACAAAATTGTATCCCGGAAAATGTAAATGAGGCTGGTGTCGAACAAGTAATAACTTTGGTCATGTAGAACAAATAATTCAAAAATTCTTTGCAGGATAGGTTAATTTATACAGGTTTAATCATGGTTAAATTTTATAATACGTATATATAGTACTGTATATAAAATATCAATTTATAAAATCGCAAATCCAAAAATCCAACATTACTGTCTAGATCTACTAGAAAATTCTATAGTCTATACTGTACGTATTACTGTTACAGTTAGGGTTGTAAGGTTATAACTTATACAAAATTTGTGATGTATGGTAAAGTTATTATCAGTCAGGGAATATCAGTCGATCAAGATGTCACGCAGATCAGGTGAATAAATTTTTTACTATGAAATTTGAGTGATCGACACTCATATAAGAAATTCGATTTTCATAGTAAATTGCAACAGTTAGCCATTTTCAATCATTGATTTTAGAGGTTTTCTAAAAGGAAACTACACTCACGGGATGTAGTGAGTATTCAGAAAGTTAGATATTATGCGATGAGTAAGTTTAAAATAAAATAAAATTAAAAGAATCTTGCTTACAAAAATAGCCTTTTGTTTTATATTCTATAACACTTGCAGTATAATAAATCAACATTTTGCTAATTAACAAAGGTATTTTTATGTAATATAAATATTCTTAACAACTTTACTCTGGTTTTAAAAGCTTTTAACAAAAAAAGAACAAAGTACTAAAATATTTTTTATTGTCAAAAACAAAACTATAAAGATTTAAATAAAAAATTATTATCAATCACAGGATATGTTGATCATATTTTTTTTTTTTTTTTTTTTTTTAACTCTTTGATAGTCTTGTCGCTATCTTTATTAAAAGATAATTATTATATATGCAGAACACATGTGATATATCTAAACTAAAATAATCAGATGCAGCATCATCCGGTTGCTTCTTGAGTACCTAAATGCAATCTGTCACACTGCACTACAAATAGAACAGAAGACATTGTCAGCCCTGCCCAAGAGCTAAAATTTAATTTTTTTCTACCAAGATTTTGGCAGAAAGGCTTCGGTAAGCCTGTTTCTCTATTTAATAAATCCAAGAAAAAAAAAAATAAATAAAACAATATTGCAAGAAGAAGGAGATAAGGGAAACGATTAAAAAAAAAGAAGACTATAAGGAAGAAAAAAATGAAAACCTAAACATAAAACTCTAATATAACCATATAAGAAAAAGATGAGAAAAAAACAAGTAAGGCCTTTAGACTGGACTAAACAATATAATAAAAGAAAATAAAAGAAAGTGCACTATTGTAACCTGTACAAGGCTTAAAAAATTATATAACAAATACAATATCTGTATATCTCTACTGTAAGACCTAGCCTTAATATATTAGTTTCTTTCTGACTATACAACCAAATCCAGATATATCTTTAACTGAGAACTAGTTAATAGGCCTTGTCACATGGAGTAGTGACGTGTTTATTACCAAACAAAACATGTGGTTGCAATCTACCAGGTTAACCGAATTTGGAAGGAGTAAACAATACTGATCTTTTGACGGGTAAACTGTTTTGCCCACTTTTTTTGAAAATTTTGTTGCAAGCACAAGTGGGTGATAGTAAAAAATATAAACCTTGTACTTTTCTTAAAAGAGAGTATATATTTCTTCAAAAATAGTAAGACAAGTAGATCCGAGTACACTGCTAATATTCTTTTCGGTAAGTGATAAACTTTGAACTTGTTAGCAAGTAGTATATAAGAACAACTTCTAAATAACAAGTGCTATCCTTATAGTGAGTAATAAGCTTTAAACCTATTAGCAGATAGTATATGAGAACTATCTCTAAATAATAGACACCAGTTTATGGTTCTCTCAGTCTTATGTTCTTCTTTTCTAATATAGTTCTATAATTTTTGTCAAAATTTTTTGTTGTGAAAAGTTGGTCTAAGAGCACTAGTCAAATATAAGAAATTTGACTACCAAATAAAATAGTCGATTTGACCTGAATTTAATAGATGAATATTTGGCTAATTTTATATCAAATTATTGGAATAATTCGATCTGAATTTGATAGTTGAATATTTAGCTAATTTTATATCAAATTATTAGAATAATTCGATCTGAATTCGATAGTCAAATATTTAGCTAATTTTATATCAAATTATTAGAATAATTCCATCTAAACTTGATAGTCGAATTTTAAAAATATTTATCCTAAAATTGTTCAAAAATTTGAAGATCAAATTTAAGTCGAATTGGCTATTTCATTCGGTAGCTAAATGTTATATTAAATTCGACAAAGAATCGATTACTGATTACTAACAACATTCGATATTAAAGAGGGCGATTATTAGATGATTACTAAAAATATTCAGAATAAAATTTGGTAGTTGAATATTGGGATATTTATATATAGTAGCCAAATTATATTTATTAATAATAAAACAAATATAAAAAATATATATAAAATTTACAAAAAATATATATATTAAGCTATTCATTTACTTGGTCATTTCTCTACAAAGTTAGAGGCTTGTTTTTTACCTTTGTCACCTCCACTCCCAGAATCTCTTTTCTCATTATCATCCTCATCTTCATCCTCATTATAATCATCATCATTATCCTCATCCTTATCTTTATCTTCTTCTACTCTGCTAGAATTACTTTCTTGATTTTCTCTACCTGCTACCCAATCAGGTACACCTTTGGGCCAGGAAACTCTTATTCTATATGATCTTTGACAGGGGCATTTGTAATTTGGCACAATGGCTGAATCAAGAACATCATGCAACAAGTGAGTTAACTATTAAAATAGAAAATACATAAAAATTTTTATAATTAATAAATTCAATATCGAATAATACTTGCATTCGGTCTATTAATCAAATGCAGATCTCAAAAAAAAAAAAGAATCTGAAAAAAAAAGAATCTGAAAAAAAAGAATTTGAAAAAAAAAATCTGAAAAAAAAAAAATCTAAAAAAAAAAGAATTTGAAAAAAAAAGAATTTGAAAAAAAAAAACTAAAAAAAAAATAAAAAAAAAAGAATCGAAAAAAAACTAATTATACCTCACTTGATTTCTAAGATAGGCTATGAACATTAACGTACACATGTCTCTTGTCATCTATAGCTTTACCAGGATCTGAAAGTTCAGGGGAATAGATATCATTAGACATTAATAATTTCGTTAATTCTCCATGTCATATTTGGTGATCTGGCTATCATTCTTTAAATGAAGGACTTGTATGCCAAGGCCTATCGAGACATTTTCTATAATTAGAAGAAAAAAAAAATTTAAATTAATTAATAAAAATTAATATTTAATAAATTATAACTTATAATCAACTTAAATTCTATCTAAATTTAGGTCGATTATAAGTTAAATTTATAATATAGAAAAAAATTTATATATCAGATCTTCAGTAATTATTATGTATATGTTCATCGAAGACCTTCCCTTATTCTGGGTTCTGACATATAGCCTAAGTGCTACAGGATGATTTGAGATATTGGTGCAAAATGCTTGCCAATTCTGTCTGATCTGTGCCAAACCACTGGCCCAAAAGGTTGAATAGTATAGAGATTGTATTTTGTATTAGGCAGTTTTTTTGCTTCTTTCAGGTTTCGTTAAAGTTAAGTTTAAACTCTTCTTCTTTTTCTTGAAGGATATAAAAGACTTCTCTCTATTAACAATATAAAAAAAAAAATAAAAAAAATAAAAAAAATAAAAAAATAATGATAAAAAAAAAATAAATTAAGTCTAATAACATATACTCGAAGTGCCTTTCTTCTTTCATGATTATCTTCAAAAGTTTGTTGTATTTCATTGTTCATAGGATCTGACCTTTGTTATATAGCCATTGAAGATTCTGCTACATTCTTTTCTTTCCAATCTTCTCACATAAATGTCTGGTGATTTAAAACTTGCAAGCTACCGATCTCTTCAACTAAAGAGGTATAAGAACTATGCAATACTTCTAAATTATCCTCTAACTCTAAGATTCTATGATCTTGACTCCTCCAATTCCATAATTTTATGATCTTGGTCCCTTTGAATATCATGTAGTATATTGACAGTTTATAACAATTGATTTTCTAAAATAAAAATAAAAAAAATAAAAAAATAAAAATAAAAAATAAAATAATAATAATAATAATAAAATTTTGTATTTAATAGCCATTTAGTAAAATTACCATTCTCTAGCCTTTTACTTCTTTCTAATAAATTATAATTAGTTAGAGATTCTGTTTGTTCTTCACTTCTGCTTCTGCTTCTGCTCGCTCTGTTAGTTCTTATAGATAAACAAATAGTAAGAGTAGTAAAAGACAAAACTACAATAATTAAATCAGTTGAATTAGTGGTAATTGGCTCAGTTGTGGATGGTCTAGTCGAAGTAGTAGAAGTGCTGGTGGTTGGTTAAAGTGATAGTTGAGTCAAAGTAGTTGGTGGTTAAATTGAAGTAGTTGTTGAAGTAGTAGTCAAAATGGTGGATGATCAGGTTGAAGTAATTAGTAGTTGACTTGAAGTAGTTGTTGAAGTGGTAGATAGTCAGGTTGAGGCTGTCAAAGTAGTAGTTGGATGGGTTGAAGTATTAGTTGAAGTGATGGTTGGATAGGTTGAAGTATTAGTTAAAGTGTTGGATAGTTGGGTTAAAGTCGAAGCAGTGGATGGTTGGGTTGAAGTAGTAAATGATTGAGTGGCAAGTTAAGTTGAAGTGATAGATTAATTTGAAGTAGTAGATCGAGTTGAAGTAGTAATAG